CGCATGTTGTGTAACAGTATATTGGGTCCGTGGATAAACTCTTAAAGGGACCGCAGTCCAATATTTATGCTGTGTCAATCCATGTTCATATTTACTGAAAACAATGGGCTGTTACTTTAATTCAGCGCTTGCAGTGCAGCAAACATAGACTCGGTGCGGAAACTAGCTCTGCTCTGCTGCAGACGCGCTGCCGCACCGCAACCGTGTGCAGTGAACGCTTTAATCCGTTAACATGAGCGCGAGGAACCGTGCAGCGCGCTTATAGATAGACGCGATGTGATGATTTGAAGACATTTGCGTATTTTGAGAGAGAAAGAGCGACTGTCTTCAGGAGAGCGCGCGAGCGCTGAATGGTTAAACACTGGCAATAATTAAAAAGTAATGCAATTTATAAACTTTAGTGACGATGTGACACTGCCTCGATTGTGCAAGTGACAATTCCTGTGTCAACTGTGCAGCGTGCAGCTGGCTTATAGACAGACGCGATGTGAAGCCATTTGCGTATTTTGAGAGAGAAAGAGTGAGAGCGCGCGGTGATTCACTCACGTTGTTTGTGAAGTTACGTCTCACACAAGGTTTTCAAATTACTTTAAAAGTTATTTAATGAAGAAATATGAAGGTGAGTACCTCACCTTCAGCATTATAATTATTTCACCCGCGCCGGACAGAGACTGAGACAGTGCCGCTGCATGTCGTGCCAAACCTCTCACGGCAGCGTCATCAGCTTGAGATCGTTTTTTTGAGATCGGCCTTTTTAGAGACCGCCGATCAATCATTCCAATGTGATTATCGGCCGATAGTGATCGGTAGCCGATCAATCAGAGCACCCCTAATTAAATCTTTGTCTTTAAGATTCAGCTTGTCCTTTCCATTCACAAAAAGGCTTGAGGCAAGAAAAGAATCTCAATTATAATTCAAAAAAAGCTTCTAACCTTCCCTGCAAGTCATCCAGAGTTAATCTTCCTCCATAGTGGGTAGCTGAAGACATAATGACTATTCGGGAACATTTCCCAGGTTTGCCTGACTTCTTCAGCACATCCAGCAACAGGTTGGTTAACAGGAAATGGCCCAGGTAGTTTAGCCCAAAGTGTAGCTCAAATCCATCCTCTGTTCTCCTCTCCGGAACAAGCATAATGCCAGCTGCAGACATAAAGGAACATCATTGCTGATATATTATGAACAGACAGAATATGCAGGCCACCAGGCAGAATCCTACTAGGCTTGATCAAGTATTCACTCCTCGAAAATGACTCATGAGTCACTTCTGAGTCACTCTTTCCTCTGGTTTGAAAAGCGATGAACTTCACACACTTGGAGAACATTGTACCACATGCAGCTCTCTGAATACTGTGGATTAGGTATTGCTGGTTTATTGATTTGCGTCTTTTTAAATGGCTTTTAGCACACACAGAAGGATATCGGAGATGTCTTTACATGAAACTGAACTAGCGAATAACCATTTCCTAAACTAATGTTCTTAATGTGTCTCTTTCTGCTTAATTCATGGTCTCGCTGAGAATAAGTAATGCTTTCGATAAAAAGATGGGAAGAACATCATGCGTCACATTCACACATAAAAATATCCCTCTACAGAAATGCATTTCTATGTCTTTAAAGGGAGCGCCACAAGATAATTAAAGTTGGTGGATCCCAATATCAAATGGATGTAATCTAGTTTAAAACCCTGACCGAGACTGACCACCAGCATTCATGCATTCATAAGCTTGTGCTCTTGAAAACGTTTCATCATTATTTTGCTCTTAACAGAATTACAGCTTAGTTTGCAGGAGAAAACAGTAATCAGGATTATAAAAATGTCCTCAGCATATTAAATCAAAATGAAACAAAATGCTTTTCTTTAATTAATCTCGTGCTGGAAAGTAGGGCTGGGCAATATGCCAAAAATATTATCATGATATTTCTTTCCACATCATACATACTGATATTTATCACAATATTCATTTATCATTTACCATGGGGAAGGAAATGCTTTCTAAATGTTTGGTAAGCCCAAAGAATTTATATATATTGTTTGTTCACAATTAAACTCCAAGATACCTTTTAATTTAGGGCCTCATGAAACCCATTTTATGTTTTCCATTTTATTTTTTGGATTCTGTGTTTTATTATTGAATACAAATTTTTCATAAAAAATCGTGTTGAATGAAATGAATTGATAACTTAATTTATTAAATCTTTTAAAATGTAATCAAATTAAAATATAACAACTAATTTACAACAAAGCACAGCGTTTGTTTCAGTTCTGCAGAACTGTATAAATTAAAATGAGTGAAAAAAAATCTTAGCATGATATTCCTTAAAAATAATAATAAGTTTACAGAATATTATTACACAGCTCTCTGGAATACTTGATTCTGTTTGGTCAGTCGCCGACTGGTGTTGACAATGGTGTTGACGTTGTTATCAATAGTATACAGTATATTCTTCATTCAAAAGGAGAAATGGAAACAAGGATATACGAGATAAACGCAGATATACAAAATGTAAACAAAGCAGCTCTTGCTTACCATTTTGAATATCAGTTATGTTGATATCTTTCTTCATTTTAAGCGGCTCATGTTGTAATGAAAATATTTGTGTATTGGAATGCTTGGGTAAGATAATGTTACCTTAGAACAGTCTGTGCCATCTTGACTTGCTTGCTTGTTTTCATCACTTTTGCTTAAAGTTTCGACTCATTCACTAAACTGAACATCCAATCAGAGTTCGCACACTCACCGATGGCCCCAACGCTGATTCAGCATATTTAATCGGGCAAAATGCCATCAACATGAGCCCGACGAGAGCCGATGTGTGCAAAACTTGTCTGACAGACACTCGACGGTGGCCCAACGTTTGTCACCGGTCACTTGGTGTGTCCCAGTGTTTATTAGCAGATAACAACTGTTGCCGTTAACAATGCCAAATAACATGCACTCATCCAGGTATTTGAGGCCAGTTCTTTAAAATCTCTCAAAGCACACCCCTGCGCTCTCTCTTTAGTGAATGATACGACTGTACATTATGCCTTAAATGCGAGTTTTGTCTGACCTTTGTCTAGGCTCAAAGCCATTTGTTAGCAACTGCTTTTCTTTGCGGAAGCTTTGCATTTAAAGTGCTTATAAAATATTTCATTTCAAATCAATATTTTGTATCTAATTATTTATTTAACTGGCAAGTAGCCGTGTAATAAGCAGTGTAATGTAGGGCTGCACGATTAATCGAATGCGATTGTCATGCGCATTTTGATAGTAATGCCGGTTCTGTAATCAGCAGAAAATTATCATCACGGGCTTTCAGATGGC